TGTTAATAGATTTTGCAGCTTCTAAATGCTAATCTTTTCACATAATGTTAATAGATTTTGCAGCTTCTAAGCGCTAATCTTTTCATTTCACATGATATTTCAACGCACACTATTATAGTGCATGAAATTTTGCTCCATCCACTCCCAATAATTGGGTAGAGAGCAAAACACTGCTCATACTGGCTACTCGTCTTACACTTAATGACTAATTTATTTAAGCTCGCATTTTTTAGATGACGTGACTCTTGAATGTTACTTCATCCAATGCTGTAACATTATTTACAAGTCAAATTACAAGGTCAATCCGCGCAACTCAATAGTCAAGATCATATATAGATCTATTGAGGGCTTACTAATTTCATAACTCCAAAAGTCGCCAACCAAAACTACGTAGCGTGTCGCTAACCATAGCGCACACATTAGTTTTTATTATGCCAAACAAGGCAACAAAACCACGACAACTTTGAGTCATGTTTCTTTACTTTAGCTCAATTAAGACTTGACCTAAAGTCTCCAAGACTTTTGCTCATCTAAAGAATGGGATTACATTGTTCACATTTGAACATCTTTACTAAGTCTAGGTCAACCAATTAACTTCCATAAGCTAAGTCAATTTAGAGAGAAATTTGCATTGGGATTAATTTGATTAGCATAATATAATTTTGCCACAAAAATCTAAATTAAATAGTGACAATATTACACAAGTCGCAAGATCGAAAATCTACTATGCTCGTAATCATCCCTTGCACCACAGGTGACAATTATCCAAAATTTAATTTAATTTATGCACAAAATATTGGTTTTCGGGAGTTAATCTACAAAGATTTCTTTCAACCGAATAACCTCCCACTGACTATGGCATGTCTAAAAGCATGATAAAAAATTCTAATTCCATACAATAGCATCATAATGTAGATTCACAATCAATACATGCTATGTTACATTTAATAACGGAATTAAAATAAAAAAATAATTAATCATGCTATTCTAATCACAACATATTACAAACCCTACAAAAAATAATATGCTATATTTAATATTCAAATTATGCCATAACAGAAACTGTATCACTTCTGAAATTTTCTGGAATTTTTCTGAAATTTTCTGGAATTCTAAATAACTAATAAACACACATTAAATTAGAAATAAAAAATTCTAGAATCTGATAAACTGAAAAAATTATTCCAGTAAATAGTAAAACATTTCAGAAGTCTACAATAAAAAATTCAACCCCAGAAAATAATTTATGCAATACCAGAAGCATTTTAAAGCATAAATAATGAATTATAATCACAGGAAAAATACTTTTTATTTTCATAAAATTTTCAAAATTTTACAAAAGATAAAAAATATAATTCTGAGTCTAATGGTACTAACCACGCTTAAAACAAAGCTATAACGAATTAATTATGACTATTTAACGCAATTCTAAATTTAAAAACAAAACAAACAGACACTTACATCAGCAGTCAAGCCGGCGGAGGAAAACAGCGCAGCTCAGCGTGCGGCTCAGCACGCGGCGCGCGTGTGTGGCGCGGAGGGCGCGCGCGTGGAAAGCGCTGAACAGCGCGCACGTGGAGGCACGTGAGAGCACGCAGAGGCGCGTGACAGCGCGTAGAAGCCTCCCACGGCATCAGGTGGCACGTGAGGCCCACGCTCTGCCTTCTAGGGTGTTTTCTAGTTCGATTTTTGTACTGTCGGACTCCATTTTTCACAATAAAAACATTTATGGCATTAAAAATAACATTTAATGACCATAAAAATGAAGTGTATCACATTCTCAATCAATGAGAGTTGAAGTGCAAAAAATCGTGCACTTCATCTTCCTTCTCCATTGATTTTCATGCATATAATGTGTATATATTTATATAAAAAAAATACACATATTTTAATACACAAAAAATAAGCACGAAAAAAACCCATATAGGCTCTGATACCAATGTAAATCATAAAGCATTATAAATTAACGCAGCGGATAAAAATAATTCGGATCATACCTTAATGACACAACCTCGTGGGTAAATCACGTGCTTCCAAAATCTGATCAGTCAACGAACCCAGCAGTGGAGTGATACTACAAAATGAGTATCACCCACACAAGTCACAGTGCAAAATGGCTTGATCATTGTTTTCTAGGAGAGAGTCAGAGAGAGAGTCTGGGAAAAAAGGTTATGAGTAAAAATCACATAACGTATATCTGATATACGTAAATCTTTAGATTAACGATATAATCTGATATATAACCAATATCTATCTATCCATCTATCCATATCTATTGATATGATAGATATAGATATCCTGAATGGTTATCCAAATAAGTTTTGAATTCAAATTCAAACTTACATGGATAAGGTTCAAAAGGTTCAGGTTCAAAAGGTTCTAAGGGTCATGCCACATGGGCGCCCAATTTCTAACAAATGTGTTGCAGAGTAAGCAATGGGATTAGTGTTGTGTTAAGTGTGATGATTTTCGTGTGCATACATTTTGTGCTACGAATGAGGTAAAGCCAGGATTGTATCTGGATGACGATGATGATGATAGATTGGATTCTGGGGCCATAGAGGCAGCGCAGTTGGAGCATTTTCAGAGTGGTTGTGAGGATCAATTGGAGGTTCAATTGTCGGAAGAGGCGGTTGTGGAATTGTTTAAGATTCAGCTTCAGATGCAGATGGCTAAGCAACTTACAGAGATGTTGGCATCGCCAAATCACAGTTCCCCTGCTTGAGACGGCAATATCAATGGCAGGAAAAAGTATCAAATCCACTGATTTGCATTGTAACTGAAGTTAAGCAATGTCCGCTTATATTCATGTGATTCAATTGGTATTTGGTTGACAATATTATTACCTCAATGCATTTTTTCTACTGTATGGGTCATGCTCCTTTTTATTCTTGTTCAAAGATGAATTATAAGACAAGTAAAACAATTCAAAATTATTCAAAGATGAATTAGCACTCTATATGAGTCTATAAATAAAAGATATTTCTTGCAATGGTTAGACATCAATATCTCAATACAATATTTTCAGAGTTCTTTTAAAATTTCTAGCATTTTTTTTTTCTTTTTCCAGTCAGTTCATTGGTAACATGCAGCGCTTCCATGGAGAATCATTCTTAACTCCACCTGGTGAAGTAGCCATGTTCTGCAGATAGACCAAGTTTTTTCACATGGCGAAAACTACTTGCTTAGAGAATCCTTTTCTCCGCCGCTTTTTCTTTCTGGATTTTGATCATGTTTAAATCTGTTTCATTACGTGTTGCCTGTGATTCCCAACAATGGTATCTGGTTCGATTAGGATTTGTGGAAGGCCTATTTATCCGAGAATTAGGTATTCATCAATGTAGTCATGGAGGTGATAAACTCAGATGGGACTACCTTGAGATAGGGTAAAACTTGAATTTTTCTCCCATAGTTCCTTCCCGTTCTATATAATTTATAAAACATTATCACATCGCAAAAGATTCTTTGAGTCTCGTTGAATTGTGATCTTATTAGATTCTATACATTTGATTATGCAAAGCCATTTTTTGCCATAATCAAATATACAAAATCTAGCAAGATCACAACTCAATGAGTCCTGCAGAATCTTTTTGTAAAGCGACAATGTTTTATAAATTTTACAAAATGAGAAGGAATGTGAGAAAAATCCAAGTTTTACCCTATAAAACTTTCTTCTTAAGCTAGTCTCGTCTTGGTTTATCATCTCTATGACTGTATTGGCGAATCTCTATTTTTGATTTTTTAGTTGTTCTTTTTAAACTCTAACTTGATTTTACCTACTTGAGTTTGAGGGGACGTTGAAGAATATTTCTAAATATTGTATTTTCATTTTTACAGATTCTCTTAATTGGGCTGCTTGATTACTATAGGTTAGGCTAGTTTGTTTGTTTGGCACTTTGTGTAAGTCTATAAATATTAAATATACTTTCTTGTAATAGTTTGTCATCAATCTAAATATTGTAATAGTTTGTCATCAATCTCAATATCTATTAAATATTAAATATATATTTGATTACTATATAGTTCTTATAATATGTATGCGTTATTTTATCATCAAATGATTGACTGGAGAAAAAAAAAAAAAAGTGTTCAATCATTTTTGTCTCTAAAATTTAACAAAAATAAAATTATGTAATTTGAAGAGAAAAAAAAGAAAGTGAGTTTATATGAGCGTTTCTATCAGTAATGCAACAAATCAAGATGAGAGAAGAATTCAAAGAAAATCACAGCGAAATTTTATAATTTTAATTATATAAATCAAATTACACGAAAGCTGACTTTCTTTCTCATCAATCTTCAAAGTCAATACCTTTTATTTGAATTTATTCTGTCACACAATTGAATTTTTCAATCCACTTGTACATTGAAGAACATGTACAACCAATTCTTTAATTTGTTTATTATTACACTGCATTATTTCGGGGTCATGCTTCCACGGTTGACTGCTAATTATTGACTTTAGCCTGTTCGTTTTCACTTTAAAACAAGAAAAAAGTTAAATTTATTTATTTATTTATTTTTGAATCCCAACATTAATCATCATTAACTATTACAATTAAAAATAAAATGACTAAAACAAAATTTTAATGAAAGTGAAGGTACTAAATGTAATTTACTCTAAACCTTGTGTACAAACAATTAGGAATGTGGCCCGTTTGTTTTCAGAAGTAGAATGGAAGGGATTGATAGTGAGGGGATTAAATAAAAGAGTTCAGATCTTCGGCCGCTCTTTCAAGCAGCACTCCCAGCAGCACTACAAAACGACGTCGTTTTGTAGTGAAAAAACAACGTCGTTTTGTTTAGTTGTTTTTTTTTTCTGTTCTGAAAATTCAAATTTCCCGCCTGATCATTTTGACTTCATCTTCGTCCCTCTCTCCTCTGTTTTGCCCTAACAAACCACACAGCTGGATAGAGAGAGAGAGAGAGAGAGAGAGAGAGAGAAGAGAGGCGCTGGAGAACGGAGAGTGGCTCCTCGGCGCCATCTGCGAAGACGGAGAACGATGGTGGACGGAGGCGACGGTAATGGAGAGAGGTTGACGGAGGGACACGAGTCCGGCTGTGACACGACGATGGCGAAGGGACGCGAGTCCGACTGTGACGAGGTATATTTCAGTCTCTGTGTTATGTATATATGTATATTTCAGTCTCTATATTTACATTTTGTTTGGATAATCAATGTATACATGTATTTGTATATATTTTGTTTGGCTGTGACGAGGTATACATGTCTCTGTGTTAGAAATATGTCAGTCTATTTCTCTATTTCAGTCTGTATATATTTGCAGACATTACAAATATACCAGTGCTATATTAATTTTTCAGACATTACAAATATACAATTTTTCTGACTTACAAGTGCTTTGATTTGCAGACATTACAAATATACAAATATACCAGTGTATATATTAATTTTTCTCTATACATTTCTCTATATTAATTTTTATATATAATTAAGGATTTATATATAATTAAGGATTTTGTGAATTCAGAAATTAGTAATTATAAAGAAGAGTGATTAGTAACTATGATTGATTTTTCAATATCATTTATAACTATGATAGTTATATATAAAAGATATCATTTATAACTATGATCTGGTCCATCATTTCAAAGAGATTTACAAAATTATAAAATAATTAATTTTTCTCTATACATTTCTCTATATTAATTTGTATATATAATTAAGGATTTATATATAATTAAGGATTTTGTGAATTCAGAAATTAGTAATTATAAAGAAGAGTGATTAGTAACTATGATTGATTTTTCAATATCATTTATAACTATGGTAGTTATATATGAAAGATATCATTTATAACTATGATCTGGTCCATCATTTCAGAGAGATTTACAAAATTATAAAATAAAACTACCTTAATAAACCACTCCCCATAACAAAATAAGTTCACATTTGATGTTGGCTAATTGATTCATTGAACCTATAAATTGATTCATTGAACCTATAAATCGAAGTAATATAAATTGATTCATTGAACCAATAGATCGAAGTAATATAAATTGATTCATTGAACCTATAAATCGAATTGCAGGTAATCGAAGAAAATAATGTTGTTAATGAGTTGGCTAATTGTGGTTGGAAGCCAAAATTGGGCATGTCATTTGACTCTGAACAAGCTGCATATGATTTTTACAATACCTATGGCAGAAATGTGGGCTTAGTATTAAGAAGCTATATGCACACAAGAACAAACATACTAAGGAAATAACTTCACGGACTTTTGTATGTTACAAAGAGGGAACTTGGGGTATTGACAAGCGAGATCCACTAGTAAAATTTCCGAGACAAGAGGTGAGGTGTGGTTGTCATGCTCGATTTAGTATCAAGTTAGATAGAAATTTAGGAAAATATGTTGCCATTGATTTTGTTGAACATCATAACCATGATCTTGTGCCTCAAGAGTGCATTCATATGTTGCCATCCCAAAGAAAAATATCTACCACCCAAGCAATTGAAGAAGAATTGGCTGCAGAATCTGGAATTCCTCTTAGGTCTGCTTATGAGCTATTTGGTAGGGAATCTGGTGGAAGAGCATCACTTGGCTTCACCAAATTGGACCAAAAAAATTACTTGAGATCGAAGAGACAAAAAGATTTGGAATATGGAGAAGCGGGTAGTGTGTTGCAATACTTTCGTAAGAAAAGTTTAGAAAATCCATCCTTTTATTATGCAGTCCAATTAGATTGTGAAGAGCAAATAAGTAACATATTTTGGGCGGATGCACAAATGATAATGGACTATGCTCAATTTGGTGATGTAGTGACCTTTGACACTACTTACAAATTAAATAATGAACATAGACCTTTTGGAACCTTTGTTGGATTTAATCATCATCGAGAAACTGTTGTATTCGGTGCAGCGTTGATGTATGATGAGACTACCGAATCATTCACATGGTTGTTTCAGATTTTTTTGGAGGCAATGTCAAACAAAGCTCCAAAAACTATTTTCACCGATCAAGATACTGCGATGGCTAAGGCCATTCCAATTGTCATGCCTAGTACAAACCATCGACTTTGTACATGGCATTTGATGCAAAATGTTGTGAAGCATGTGAGTTCCCTCTTTCAAGATGTTGAGGTAAAGGGTGTCTTTTCAAAATTTATGCATCAAATTGATGATGAAGAAGAATTCAAAATACAATGGGACCAAATGCTTGATAGGTATGATGCACACAACAATCATTGGTTGGCGCAAACTTTTGGTGTGAAGGAGAAATGGAGATGGCCATATATTATGAATTATTGGGCAGCTGGAATGAGTACTACTCAACTAAGTGAGTCATTCAATGCATTTTTGAAGGATTATCTCAATTGTGATCATAACTTGATGGAATTTTTCAAGCATTTTGAGAGGGTGCTTTATGACAAGAGGTATAAAGAATTGGAAACCGAGTATAATTTGTGTCAAAAATTGCCAAGGGTTTCCATTCCAACTGTGATGTTAAAGCAAATGGCAGATATTTACACCAAAACAATTTTTGAGGAATTCCAAAATGAGTACGTGCAGTCCATTAAAGCGTCCATTGTAGGCACTATTCATGATGGTGAGAGTACCATATTCACAATTCAAACGGATGTAGATGGAAAAAAAGATAAGAATGTGACAATGGATAGAGATGGTTTTTTGAGTTGTAGTTGCAAGAAGTTTGAAGTGAAGGGCATAGTGTGTCAACATTATTTAAAGGTGCTTAGAGAGATAATCAATGCAAAGGACCTTCCTGCACAATACATACTCAAACGATGGACTAAAAAAGCAAGGGCTGAAACTGTGAAAGATAGGCGTGGGTATGATGTGAAGGTTGATGTCAAACTACATCAAAGCGACCGATATAGGTCATTGATGAATATGTTTAGAGCTACAGCAAGTAGAGCCGCCGAAAGTGAAGAAACTTATCATTTGTCACTTGCAAAAGGTGAAGAACTGAGTGTCATGGTTGAAGACAAATTAAGTGTGCACACTTTTGGTCAAGTGGAGATCACTGAATTCAGAAATTCCTCAGCTAACACATGCCCACAGAGTGATGAAGTAGATTGTCCAATCCAAGCCAAGGGACTGAAGAAAAGACAAGCAACTACTAAAGGAAGAAGGAGGATCAAGGGCGGGATGGAAAAATATATTGCAAAGAAGAAAAGAATGCAATCTAAGCAGGTAATTAATTGAAGTTATGTTTAATTGTTATGTGTTATCAATTTTGTGTTATGTGTGTTAGGAAAATAATTTATTAAATAATTTGGTTGTTTGCAGGGTGATAGTTTTTGTACTCTTGAAGGTCAATATGAGCCTCCTGTTGCCATGGGTAATATTTCTAGTCAGGTAATTTTTACTATTGTGTGCAACCTTGTATTAATTTGTTGGATTGATTATTCTTGCAACTAGTAGCGTTATATTGATTATTTTTGGTCTTTTGTGATGCATGTAGGATGGTTCTTTTTCTACTTATCAAGGTCAATCTCAACCCTCTTCCGACATGGGTAATCATTCGATGCAGGTAATATTTAATTTAGGGTGTTTACCTTTGACATGCATAGACGTTAGGGAAATTGAATCTCATACGGAATTATAAACTTTGTCTTATTCTTTGCTTTATGTTGGTTTACTTTAGGGTGTTTACACTCCACAAGGTTAATCTCGACCTCTTTTTGCCATGGGTAGTAATTATGTTGAGGTAATATAACATATTGTTTGTTTTCTAACATGAAAATGCATTATGAATTTTTTTTAAAATGCATTGTCTTATTCTTTGCTTTATGTTGGTTTACTTTAGGGTGTTTACACTCCACAAGGTCAATCTCGACCTCCTTTTGCCATGGGTCGTAGTAATTACGTTCAGGTAATATTTCATATTGTATGTTTTTAAAAATGAAAATACATTATTATTTTTTTGGATGGACATTCTTCTTTTATTTATGTTGGTTTACTTTAGGGTCGTGGTCGCGAATCCCAATCTCAACCTTCTTTTGCCATGGGTCATACTAATTATGCCGAGGTAATATTTCATATTGTATGTTTTGTAAAATGAAAATACATTATTACTATTTTTCATTACATACTTTATTTTTTTACGTTGGTTTACTTTAGGGTGATGGTCGTGCAATCTATATTTCTCAACCTCAATCCCAATCTCGACCTGAATCCCAATCTCAACCTTCATTTGCCATGGGTCGTACAAGTGTACATCATGTCATGTATCCTACATATGATGTGAGTTGTAATTGGTTACATACTTTACATTGAAAATGTAGTATAGATTCTAAAAAAAGTTTAATACATGTATCACTATTGCAGGGAAATAACATGCCTCAGTCAATGCCGTTTGATTCAATGCCTTTACTGTATCCCACTCAGACATCGTTTCAGAAATTGCTTCGAGATAGTACTGCAGTCCAACTGTCACAAGCCTCACATAGTCCTGCTGACAGTCGTGTGGATGGACATCCCTGGAAGGCTTGCACTGAACGATGATGTTATTATATTTGTGGATTTGGGTGTTTTTTTTTTTATGTTCGGTGGGATTTGGATATTTTTGATGGACAATTTTTTTTATGTATTTGTAATGTTTTGTGGGATTTGTATAATTTTTATGGATATATTCTTTATGTATTTGTAATGTTTGGTGGGATTTGAATTTTTTTATGGACATTATTTATTACACCCAAGAAGGGGTGAGAGTTTAGTATTAATGTATTAATGTTTGGTGGGGATTTGAATTTGGGTGAATTGCTCAAGTATAAATCCCAAGAAGGGGTGAGAGTTTTGTTGTTGATTTGGGATGATAACACTTCACATGATAAATCCTTCATTAATACAGTCAGAATCCTTTCTTTGATTCATAGTTTACTTTGTTTTTCCATTCAATTTTTTGTACTGGTTGGACTGTCCACTTAATTGTGGTAATCTTCATGTTATGGTTTCCATTATAATTCTTCAAACGCCATTTTTCACATTTGTTTAAAAATGTAATTTCTAGAATTGGGTGTTCTGTTCAAGAGTAATTTGAAAGCATTTTCTGCATGTTATGAAAGTGCACAGCTTTAAACTTTGCATGCCATATGATACCAATTCTCACAATTGGGATATTCAAAATAAGAATGGAGATATATAATGCTTAAGTTTGGATGACATCATTAAAAACTAAAATCAATGTTTCTATGTCAATTTGAATTTTAAAATTTCCTGTTTTGATTATACCCTGTAATGTAATGGACAGGTTGAACTTATTTCCTGTTTTGATTACACCCTATAATGGACAGGTTTGATTTTATTTCTTGTTTTGATTACACCCTGTAATGGACAAAATACACTTATTCCTTGTTTTCATTACACCCTGTAACGGACAGGTTGAACATAATCATAACCATACAAAGTGCACAACATAACCATACAAACTGATTACACAGATTACACAGCTCCGCTGGACAAAATGAACAAAATAACCAAGTGCCATTACATAACCATATAACCATACAAAATTAACAAGTCTAGTTAACCATACAAAGATATAGTTTACCTAACCACATAACCATACAAACTGCCACTAGCTCCCATGGGTCGCAAAGATTACAAAACTATTACATTTTTATAACTAACACGATCCCAATTACAAGCAAGATACACAACCCATAAATACGACTCGAATTTTGATTTATGTCTGTTTCCAACTTAAGCATCTTCGCCCTCATAAATTGAAGTTCTTCGCTTTGAAATCGAAGTTGTTCGTTCATAAGTCGAAGTTGTTGTTCGGTGACAGTTGACATATTTTCTATTTGCACTACTCCTTCACGTCTACCTTGTGATTTTGTAGGCAAGCACCGTCCCATAAAATCGCCGCAATTTTTACAACAATAAAATAATTTGTTTCTGTTTTGTTCCGTCTCCGAAATTTGAATAGTTGCTTTCTTATGACATTTAGGGCAATTTCTGTTGTTGAACGTCAACTGATCTGAGGTACCTCCGTTAACAGTTGAACTTGACATCTGCAAAATTATGCACACAATTCATAGTAAAGTTATATACACATTCAACTTCAATCATATCATTCCTACATACACCTACTTTTCAATCTTCTGGTTTTTGCTTCTTTTTTTTTTTAAAAAAAAAAAACGTTTAGGTTGCCCTAAACAGGAAGGTTATTAAAAAAACTTTTAGGTTGCCCTAAACAGGAAGCTCTGACACTTCCCTCAAGTTAGGGTAAATTTGCTATATTTACATTTGCATATGTATGAATGCATTCAAGCATAAATTATATCTATCAGATCTAATTAATTGCACATTTCATTTAATCAATAAGTGCACTTGACAAATGGATCTATACTTGCATTAATAACTTCAAGATAACTTTAAGGTCCAAACATATTGTTGAAGTTATGTATGCCAAACATATTTATAAATTAAAAAAAAGAAAGAAGTTATGTATGTCAAACATATTGTTGAATGATTGTGAACTTGTGATATCTCAGTTTGTAATCTAAATCCATAAACTGGCATTCTTTACTTGAAATCTACCAACTTAACTGTTTGCTCGTTCAAAAAATAAAAATAAAAATATTCCCACTTTTTTGCAGACTACCTTTTCCAGAACTGAATTTGAGGGCTAGGATGATCAATGCATGATAGCTTTGGTAAGTAATAAGATAGTATAGGGTTTGAATCATTGTTTTCAATATATATATGATGTGTATCAGTGTATTTTTTGAATTCAGATCCAACTTCTCTAGCATTCAACAAGTAAAATTTCACAATCTGTATATTTGAGAATTTAAGTTTTGGATGGTTGGTTTTTGTATGTAAATAAAGTAAAAACATTGAGAATATGAGGTGAGCTAAATAGAGATTTACAGTAAGTTAATGAGCATTCAAGCACATATGATAAATGGAGGTGCCAAGCAACATCTGCAGCAACTGTTAATGTTGCCCTAGATTGACACAAAAAGAGAAAAAATTGAATAAAATATTAATGAAATATAGTTACATTTCACTTACATTTCACCCACCTTTTCTTTTTTCTTTTATAAATTCTAACAAAAAATCATAATCCAAACACAGTGTAAGGCATACTATGACATTATCATAACTTCATGGTATGGTGCAATTTTTGAACTTCTTTATTCTTTATTGATGTATTTTTTCTTAATTTCATTAACAAATATTTTTTTGGTCAATTAAAAAAAACACATATTTATCGTATACGGTGCTAAAGAAAGAGTCATGGACGAACCTTATTAGACCGCTAGTGCAGTTATCAAGATTGCATATAGAGACTCGACTAAGTGATGGGAAGAACAATGTGGTGCATTTGTAATGTCTACAGGTTATAGGAGCATACTTTGACAAACTTGGGTCAAATTCATTTGCAGTTTACTCAATTACAATGACAGATGCAGATGAAAAATGATTAGCATACTACTTTATTTTCTAGTTATCTATTCTGTAATAGAAAGAAATCTATGTTCAACTGAAATATGTTCTGAGAAATAAGAATTAGTTCACCCTGTTCAAATAAAAATATTTGTAATCCTGTTCTTAAATATGTTAAGAAATATGAGCATGGAATTATGTTTCTCAAACTCTGTTCATCAACCATTGTCCGAATGGAATCTATGGAACATTGTCCTATTTCTCAAACTCTGTTCATCAACCATTATCCTATTTCTCAAACTCTATTTTATTTGAACATATTTAAGAATGGAATCTATGGAATCTATGTTCATCAACCATTGTCCGAATCTATGTTCATCAACCAAAAAGAGTATGGGCAAAAAAAAGAATGGAAAATCTATGGAAAATCGAAAGGGAAAAATCGAAAAGAATTGAAAGGGAGAGAAACGAACCTCGTCAGTTCACTCTTCCAGATCGTCCAGATCGTCTCTCTCCTTCATCCTGTATCGTCGCCTCACTCTTCCAGATCGTCCAGATCTTCTCCTCTCCTTCGTGTCCTGTGTCTAGGGTTCAAAAATGGAAAGGGGAAAGGTGAATAAGAAGAAAAGAAAGGGAAAAAAAAATATATACAAAACGGCATCACTCTTCCAGATCGTCCAACTCTTCTCCTCTCCTTCGTGTCCTCTGTCTAGGGTTCAAAAATGGAAAGGGGAAAGGTGAATAAGAAGAAAAGAAAGGGATAGTTGTTGGTGTAGGGATTGTTAAATTATTTTTATATAAAACAAATAAAAAAATACAAAAACATTAAACATTAATGTTTTAAAAAAATGCCCAATATGTAAAAAAAAATAAATAAATAAATAAATAATTTCCAAAAAAAATTAAATAAATAAAATAATAATTTTTACTTAACAAAAAATACAAAAAATTAAACATTAATATTTAAAAAAAATGCTCAACATGTAAAAAATAAAATAAAAAATAAATAAAAATTTAGTCCGGCGGACTATTTTTTTAATACCAAATCTTGGAGGCCCATCCGAATCTGAAGCTCACTATCAATTTCCTCCTCATCTCTCAAAACAAATACAATATTAGTGAGTCTCACCGCCCTACCAATCCCAATCCCCCTCTCACTCTCCAAACAAACAGTGCTAGTCAATGCGTTCTCTCTTCCCACCTTCACCTGATAGCGTTTGCACCAGTGAAAACAGTTACAAACAATACTGAAATATTAAACCTTAAAAAAAAAATTAATGTATTTTTTTTCATGTTTTTTATTTGAAAAATAGCATGTGTTCAGTAGAATATTTTGCTTTTCGAGGACTTAGTTTCCTAAATTTAAAAGATAATTTTGAAAAGAATTTGCAAAGTTTTAAAATTTGTTTGGTTTATATATTTTGAAAATAGTTTTAGAATGATTTGTAATTTTTTTTTTTTTTTGTAGTTAAATAAATGGATGTGAGAAAAAAAATTCATTGATTAATATGTAGAATGAGAAAGGAGAGAGAAGAAAAAATAATTAATTGATATGTAAAAAAAATTAAAAAAAAATAAGAGAGGGAGAGAGAGGGAGAGAACAATTTTAAAAACATTTTCTGACATTGTAAACCATACCTGTTTTTAAGGCACTATTTGACATCTCTTATTTTAGACTATGTTTAGAATAAATTTTTTAAGTTAAAATAGTCATAAAAAGACAAAGTAAAATGTTACTATTTTAGTAGGCTATTTTAATTTTTTGTTATTTTAGTAAATTAAAATTTTTATCTTTGAAAAGATAGTTGGATTTTTTTTGTAATTAGATGTGATATTTGAGAGAAGAAAACTGAAATGATTATGGATTATATGTGATAGTTTGTCTTATTAGCTATTTTAGTATATTTTGTCTTTTTATAGATTTTAGCCATAAAAAGGCCAAAATCCAACTTGCCAAACACTCCCAAAATATGCTAAGTAGGTGTTTGGAATGTTCTAAGTAGGGCTAAGCAAGAAATCCGTAAAATCCGTAATCCGATCCAGTCCAGTCCAATCCAGTAGGTTTGGATTGGTTTTTTGAATCCGTGGTTCGGTTCCAGATTGAAAAATTAAAAATCCGTAGCTCACGGATTAGTTCTAGATTGAACCCTATAGCGACCCCGGTCTTTTCCCATTTAATTATTGTATCCGGACTGTTCCGTAGATTCTGTCAGTGTATAATGGTTGTTGTTGTTATTCCTTATTTTCTCTTTTGGAATTATAGGATGTGTTGGGCAGGTTTGTTCAGGTTGGTTGGGTCTAGGAACCAAGTGTTGTTGTCCAGAATTTTGGTTATTCGCTCGAGCGAGGAGTTTGTCGCTCGAGCGAGATGTTGTTTTGGTTCTTCGCTCGAGCCGGGGGTTTGGTAGCTCGAGCGAGAGTTTGCGTCTGGGTTGGACCTGTAGCTTTGCATTCTTGGCTCGAGCGAGCTTTTCTTCGCTCGAGCGAGTTAGTTCATCCTTCGCTCGAGCTATAGTTCCTTCGCTCGAGCGTGTGTCTGGGTTCAGACCTGAGGGTTTCAGTTCTTCGCTCGACCGAGCTTTCTTTCGCTCGAGCGAGCATTTGAGTTGTTGGCTCGAGCAAGGCTTCCTTGGCTCGAGCGTAGTTTCTCTGTGTCTGGTCGCTCGAGCGACCAAGTCTTCGCTCGAGCGAGCCTGTCCAGTTTATATACACAGCAGCGGGATTTGATCAGTCTTTTCTTTAATTATAAAATGCATATTTAAAGAGTGTGTATCATAATATTTCTCCTTTCAGTTTGAACAACTTTTCGCCATCTAAAAAAAAAAAAAAAAGACAAAACAACTTTTCGAGGCAAATTCGCGCCTCCAATTTCGAGGCCTTTAGCACGGTTCTTGGATAAAATATTTGAGATTCTTAATATTTTTCAAGTTACTCTGGAATGAAATTCATGGAAGTGAATTGTTCTACCAATGGTTCAAACTTATATACTAATGTTTGGAAATTCATGAGAGAATCGGAAAAAAATGATTATGTAAGTTTGATTTGAAGACAAAAAATATATATTATAATTTGTCTCCCTATTATTGGATAAACAGGAGAGACAATAAAACAAAAGATATTATTGATTATCTTATTTGGTTAAATGAAATGATATCGTGTTATATTATTAATTAGCATTTATAAGAGTTGGTCCTTTCATTTATTTTACAGAAATGCGCGAGCCTCCCAGTAAAAGCCATCCCCAGTGACCTCCAGTGCCACGTGGCACTGCGGGATTGGAAGGAAAGAAAAAAAAAAAAAACAAAAAAAAGGCAAAATCGAAACCCCAACACAACAAAATTAAAATAAAAAAGAAGAACCAAAATATGGCAAATTCAAATCCAAAATAAAAAAAAAATAAAAATAAACAAATTAATCAAAAGTCGGCAGATCGACACCCAATATAAAAAAAAGAAAAGAAAATAAACACACCGCAGTTGGGTGGCACACCTGGTGCATCCGGTATGAGGCCGATTCAGGGACAGCTATGGTATATGTAATTCACTGTTGTAAGTTTGGCCAGGTTCTGAGCCATGTTGATAAAATTGGAGAGTAAATTGTATCTTAGACAATAGTGTCATGAGACTGTAAAATGAAGTGGTTGATTATCTTGGTTAACCATCTGTCAAATACTATTGCTTTATTCGTTGCTTATATGTGGTTTAGTATATTTCTACTGGGCTGTGGCTCACCCTTTATGGGAACATCATTTTCAGGTTCAGGTGATAAGCAACCTCCCAGGACTTAGTTTGGAAGGATGCGGATTTTGAAGACTTGTCTTTAGTTATTTATTTTAAATAAGGTTACATGTAAACATTCAAGCCAAGGGCTTAACTTGTAAATGGGTTAATACTCATTCTTTTGTGTCCAAGTGTTAGCTTGGAAAGATGTAAGCCCTTAGGGCATTTATGTTGATGTTCCATGTAATGACTTTTAATAAAAGTACTCTGGTGAATAATTCAAAAGATTCGTTTTCTTTTAATAATGCACGTTAATGTTATGTACATTATGGGTTTAATTTGAGGGCGTTACAAACCCCACGGTTCCGGATTGGAACCGATTCGAACCCTATACAAATAGTCTATATTTTTATTATACACTTCTCACATAGTATCTTCTCTTATTTTATATAAAACTTAAATCCAAACCTAAACTCACATAGTATCTTCTTTTATTATTTTTGTTTGCTAGTTTTTAATGTTAATTTGTAATGGTCTAAATACTTATGGTGAGACCAATTTTCTTATGGTTGTTTAAATTCTAGAATAGTATGTCGTTATTATGAAAAGACGTGTTGTTATTCGTGAAACTAATATGGTGCTATAATTATATTTTTATGAAATTAAAGTGTTATATATATTTTTTTGTTATTTAATTATGTAAATCCGTGAACCGATCCAATCCGTGTTTAAATGGATTGGTTCGGATTGGTTCCACGATTTAAACGGATTGGATTTGTTCCAATTTTTCAGGAACAGTAGATAACGGATTGGTCTTGGTTTTACTCCAATCCGGTCCAATCCAGACCATGCTCACCCCTAGTTCTAAGTGTACTTTTTGACTTTTTAGTTAAAAAAGTAGAGAAAAAATATATATATGTTTGGAATAACTTTTAAATTTTTTACAAAAAGATGTATAATAAAATATTGTAGTAAAACCGAAATGACCATTCTATGCTTGTTGACTTTTTAACTTTTGGGTTGTTAAATGTAAAGGGCAAAATTATTAGCTTTCCCCGCAAGCTTCCAAAATAATAATTTAAAACCTCTAAGCTTCCTCCACAAGCTTTTCCCAAATATAGAAGACTTTTTGGCTTTTGTAATAACTTTTTTGACTTTTTAACTTTTTTAATTTATGCCAAACCAAGTCTAAAAAATCAATAAGACAAAATATCATACCTAAATCATAATTATTTATTTTTTTTCTCACAAAAATCAAAAAATTCAAAAAACTCATCCCAAACGAGAATTTTTAATTCCAGACTAAAATAGTTAAAAAGTCGACCCACATCCCAAACGAAGGCTTAGTATATTTTTTATCCTTTTTTTTTTAGTTAATTACCTAAAATTCATATTTACAAATGTTATGATAGCTTAGGTCCTATTTAAGATTTTTTAAACTAATAAGTCCTATTTAGTAAAACTAATAATATTATCAATTTTTTTTCAAATTTTAAAACTAAGATTATTATCAATTTTCCATAGTAATGTTCTAGATAATTGTTTCACTAACTAATGAAAAAAAAAATAGAGTATGGTTTGATTCAGCTATCCAATGAAATCGAGAATATTATCGGTTTTTTTCCAATTTTAAAACTGAGAACATTATTAGTTTTGTAATGACCCAAATTTTTTTTTTTAAATAGCCAGTGCATAATTTAATTGAGCAAATTTTCGAATTTGATTGCTATGTAAAGTCTGTACGAAAATAGTTCGGTTTTGTATTTTTTAAAAATAGTTCCTAATCTCAAAAAATTATGAAATTTTTATATGTTGTTCTCATATGAGTCTAGCACGTTGGATAAAAATTTCAGAATTAAATTATGAGTATTTATTTTATGAAAATTCACAAACTGATTGACGTTCAGTTT